CTATGTTCTTGTTTTCAGTAGAGTCAGTCCATACCTATAATCAAAGTGGAGAGCGGGAAAGGAAAAAGGTTATTAGTAGGGAAGGAAAAAGATTATTATACTTGGTGTGTGTGTGTGTGTGTGTGTGCATATGTTGCAGGGGAAGTTGTACACATTTACCATAAGCATCATTTCCTGCCCGTAGGAGCTTGGTCTGCATAGTTGCAACGTGCCTGAGGTTTGTAAGTGTAGTTATGCGATGTAAAATCCTGCCTTTCCGTGGCTTTATGGATGGCAGCAGGGAGAAGCAAATCAAATAGGAGAGGGTAGGGGAGAGAMTATTTTGCTAAGGTGTCACAGCACCACTGTTGGACTTTGAAGTGCTTTCTGAACTGTCTGCTTTCTTAATGACTGTAAGTGATATAACAGTATTCGAGATAGTGCCTTTTTTACAGGACTGAGTCTGCTTCTGATGGCTCTGATTCATGATACAGGAGCTTAATTGAGAAATACCTTTCATTTGAGCTGGTTTCTTACTGCATGTATTTCTTGTTCTTCATCTGCATATAGAAAGCTTTGTGGAATGTGAAGACCATACTTTATGCTTAAAAAAGTGATAATCTACACATTCCCAAATAGTACATTTTCAGCTGATCTTAAGATACAAGTGTCTTGGTCATTTAACCTGAACTCCTTCATAGACTGGAGAAATGATTCTTCTTGTGCAAGTTACTTTAGATTTAATTTCCCCACCTTTCTACAAAGGAATATTCCAGGGTTTCAGCATCGAGTTCAATGCGAAGRCTTTGTGCCAGAATGTATTCATCATTTTATTTCAGTAGGCATTTCAAGAATGTCTTATTTCAGTCCTGCATTGGAGAAGCTAGAAAATTCAAAGCCCTTTGGGAAGAAGGGAAAGCTGTTGTTTTTTTGGTGTTGTGAAGTAGATATATTAACTTTAAAGCCTTCTGCCATTCAGCATTCTAATTCGTTTCTGATAACGCTGGTATATTTCTGCACCTGTGTAGCCCACCTGAAAGGTGGAAAGACCTTGAGTTTTGCTTTGAATAATAAATATTAGTGATCAGAATATGGGAGGGAAAAAGAAAAAAGAGGTGATGGAAGGAGGTAGGGAATAGATAAACAATAAATCCTGTTTTTACTATAAAGAATTCCCTTCATCTGAGGACTGTGTTCTGACCTCAGTGTTGGGTGCAGCTGGTGGTTTGAGGCTATCACTGAGCTCTGGGACCCTGTGTGATGAGGAAGAGGAAGAAAGATGGATCTAGGCTGCTAATGTATCTTTTGCCGTTCTAGTTCATTAAGCTGCTCACCCAAGTCTGAATATTGGTGCCCTTCATATTAAAAACCAAATTTAAGAGTCAGGTGACAGCTGCAATGACCAGGGAGTGTGTACTCTAAGAAAGAGAATTAGTAGCAGATGGACACATCAGGCTTTGAAATGCAGTATTGATTAATTCATTAAAATTAATAAGACAATTATAGAACTCCCAATACATTTTTCAGCTCTTCTGGAGATAGAACAATTTTTATGTACATATCCTTTAAAGAACACCTCACTCAAAATAAATTATAGTGTCATTTCCTTCACAGACCACAAAAATGTGTCAGCTCTTAGCGAAGCCCAAATTGGTCTGCATTCTGTTTAGTAAAACATTGTTTTTAAAAGGTCTCTGGAAGACTTGATCATAGTAGCATGTGCTAGGTAAAAATTGCTTTAGTGAGAGTGATCTAAGCCAGTGTATTACTGGAATAACGACACTTCAGTTAAGTAAAAAGGTAGAGCTCCARCTACATTCAAACACTAAGGAAAAAGAAAAATAAAAGCTGTTTTCTGTTTTGTTTTGGGAGGGTTATGAATCCTGTGTAACAGGTTTTTACCTGAAGATTCTGAGAGAGGAAGTTTCTTCAGACTGGTTAATTTTTACCAAAATGGGCAAGTTTATGAAAAAACAAAGTGTGTAGCAGGGAACTTTCTCTGACTTAAACTCAGGAATTCAAGGGATAAGTTTGTGAAAGTCAATATGGCTTCTTAGAAAGCAAAATGTCTTTTTTTTTTTTTGAAATTCTTCAGAAGTATGTATATAATCTCCATAATGCAGAAATGTGGTTTTCCAGCTACAGATCTTATTGCCTTGAGAAACCTAAATGGCTTTAAGCTGGATTTCCAGTATAATTCTCTGTGCTTTCCTAAGTACTGTGCTTTGTTAAATAATATCTTTAATAAAGGATTTGCTGAAGTTGTGATTTGAGCTGCTCGGTTCCTGGCTGTTCTCCTCAAAATGAGAAACTGCCGTAGAAATACTCATTTTTCATAGAGGAGCGAGGCCAAGAGGAAGATGAAGATGTAAAATGAAGATCCTAGAGTGACTGAATCTGGATCTTAATCCGGATTCCCTGGTGGTTCTAGTGAACTGCAGTTTTCATGGATGTGGTCACAGCTAATAGTCTTTTCCACAACTATTTGGTTGAATTTTTATTGCCGTGCTGCCCAGGAGAGCCAACTGCTCCGTTTAACCACCAAAGGGTAACCACAAGCCTCCTGTTCATGGCTGTTGTGCCTGTCTTGGGTCCCTCCTTGGAATAAGACATGAGTTCAGGTTTAGTATCTGCTTCTCTAGGGCTGAACCAGAGCTGATAGCCTAGAACTGAATGGTGATGAGGCAGCCCTTAGCTAAGTCATCCTGTTCCTGATATTCAGAGTAACTGCTAAGAGACTCTAGTAAAAGAGAATTTCTTTTCCATGAAAAGAAACTTCTCCCACTCATATGAGTAAAGGAAGATGACAGAATTGGATCCAAGTAAGTCTTGAGAACTTAAATAATGAAATTTAAGCATGCAGAGCCTTCGATCTGAGCTTCTAGTTCCTAATTTTGTGTGGGAAAAGTGGTGGCATTTACCACATCTTAACATGATTTTATTAACGGTATAGCTTAATTCTCACAAATGACTGCAATTTTCACAGGGTAACCTTACAGAAAGGCAGAGATGATGCAAGGGGAGGAAGGAGTAGATGCAGCAGCAATAGGCATTACAGTTGGATCACAGTTCTGTTGGTCTAATGAAAAATCTGCCTTTTAATTTCAGGCTCCTCAAATTTCTCACTGTTGCATCAGCCTGTCAAGCTGGATAGTAGGGTGACTGAGGAAAATTGCAGTCTTTTCCACTTCTGCGTCTCTCAAATTCTAGTCTTAGGCAATTTTGACTCCCTTGATATCTAAAATAGTGATTGAAAATGCTGCAGCAGGGCCTTCACAAAGGCAGCAAGGTTTTCCTGTCCTACTAGGCCAGTGTCCATGGAGTGTGAAAGAGTGGGAATAAATTACTTTCCTAGGCCCACTTTAATCCCTTGCTTATGTTCCTAAACAAGATATTTGAGAGATTTGTGTGAACAAAATTAAACTGATACTTTATCTTGATGAAGCTGTAGGCTGGCGATGTTAAACTAGTGTCTCTCTTTTGTACCTGGTTCTACTTTTGTATCTTTTGTACCATTTTTGATTATATCAAAAATAAATTGGGAGGTGGCATGAGGATGGACTAACTTCTGCAGTTTTTGTGCATGATTTTCTTCCTTTCTTCAGTCATTGCTTATGCCACTGCAGGCCTTGGAGGAGATGAAGGCTGGATAGAGAAGAAATCTTGGACTCGCTGCTTTGCTCTGTCAAGGAGCCAGTTCTGCTGATGGGGTGTTTGAGAGTCTTTAATCATGGACCTCATTCAGAAAGGCTGAGGAGGTGAAGGTAGGGCTGGCACTGGCAAAAACAGGACTCTTCTTTCTTTTCAACAGCAGGAATAAAAAAAACAAAATGCCTAAATTGTATCAGGCCTCTTCTGAAAACAAGAAAAGTAGAGCCCAAGCAGTGTGATGGCAATATCTTTAAACAGAGGCAGCTACTCATAGGCACTGTGTTTGAATTCTAGGTTCAATAAAGGCACATCCTTCAGTTAGAAAAGACCAAAGAAGATCATTTGTTAGTATTAAAAAAAGTGTCTAAATGCTTCAAGGACTTGTCATCAAGTGACTCACTGCCCTCTCATAATGGGACTTCTGGCTTTCAGATGAGAGTAGTAGTTTTGCTGCTAAGGCATTCAGACAGCTAATTTTGACAGCACCTCCTGCCAAACTTGTGTCTCACTCATGATAAAGTTGGATTTAGGGGTAATGGAGCAAATGGAGAAGTTAAAGACAGATAGTTTAAAAATCAGAAGTCTCATTAACTCTTCATTATAGTTGTCTTAAGTGCCTGCTTTTCTGTTTGCTCTGTGCTTCTCACATGTGTGCCTGTTGGAAAAGAACATTTGCAAGTGTTGAGGTAGCCACGTTTGTAAGAACTTAGTTATCTCCTTATTCCGATCAAAATGACTTTTATGTGCTGGGTATTTTCCAAAGTTTTTGGCTACTTAAAAAAATCATGATGCCAAAGTTAGCTTGCTTTTCTTGGTCACTAGCAGCTGATTAGGGGAACATGAGGATTTTTTTTGTTTTGGGGGTTTTTCTTTGTACGTTTATTTCATATAATAAATTTTATTTTAGAGACCTTTTACCTTTTTAGGAGCCAGTTCTCTGTGATACTAACTAGGGACCTCCTGCAAGAGCCCTTCCTGCCTTCTCATCCAGTACTTTACTCATCCCGGACGTAATCCAAATACCACCGGCAGGGCTTGTGTGGGTTTTTATTTTTCTAGAAATGTTTCATCATATGCTGACTTGGGACAGCATTAAATGCATCACTGTGCAGTTCAAGAGATTGTAGTCACTGAGATGAGTCCTGACCAAGCAGCAAGTGGCTTTCTGCCCTAAACATCCTACCCCTTTGTGTCATCAGACTCTAAGTCTGGCATTACAGGGGATGTCTTGCATAGATGAAGGTGTTTAGTTGCTCTTTGAATCCTACCCTGTTATTTTGGCTCGTTATCCAGGTGCAGTGACTTCAACAAACCTATCTCCTCCTACGTGTGGTGTAGCTGTGTTTGGTTTTGGAGAGCTGAGATTCTTCTAAAGACTGCTCCATCTGCACCCCCTGCAGCTGCAGGTAAATGTCTCTAAATCCATTAGGACGAGCACGTGTAATCTCCTTGTCTATCTTCCACCTTTCCCATAAATTCATACACTTGTGCATTGAGATTTTTGTAAGCATTATTCTTCTCACTGAGATGCACTGAGCACCTAGACTTATGTGGCACAACCTGTATTAATTTTAGTCTAAGTGTGGGTGCCCTCTCTGGACTAAAATTCTTAATGAACTAAATGTACCTATTCAAAAAGAGAGAGTTGATTTGTTGATTTTGCATTCTTGGCAATTATCGGATGAGTCGCTTCAGTTTTCTTGTGTTTTGAAAAGCCAGCCCCTACCCCCTACCTTGTCTTGCAAAAAAAACGCTCCATGGCAAAGCTGTGGCTCTCAGCTGCTCTTYTCCTTTTGATGTGGGAAACTAAAAATTAATACTAAAAACATACCTCTGAAGTTGATTTCTCTTGTAGTGCATTCATGATGAAAGACCGGGAGGCTTCTCCCTGCACCTTTAGGGAACTTGTTCCTGACTGGACTTTTCTGTCACCTTTGATCAGAAGGTGACGTTGGCTACGGCCGAGCTCACTGTGGCCTCCTGCTACCGACAGGTCTCTTTCCCCTGCCATGTTTGGCAGGCCCCTGTGCTGTAACACTGACCTGGCAGATAATTTAACAGAGCAGCTCTATGAGTGAGTATGGCTGTGATGTAGTATTAAAGGACCTGGCATGGAGCTCTCTACAGGTTTGAAACCTGGAGCTGAAGTCTACAAGATGAGGCTKCATCTGGTGCCTTTTCAACAGCAGTTCCCAAGTTTCTCTGCGCCTTATTGCTCTTGTRAGATGTATCTGTAACTGTGGTACCTGCTCTGTGTGTTTTTTTAATTTTTATTCTGTTTAAACTTCCTGCAACCCCCAACTTTCTGAACCTCTAGCACCTATGCACTCAATTAYTGCTGAACCTGCTTATGCTTGGTATCTGAAAGCACTTGGTACAAACTGGATTTTTGTCTCTGGATGGTTCTCTGTCCTTAATAAGTTAGTAAGTATGAATTGCCATATGCTCTAGCTGTCCCTGCTTGAACAGGGAGGTTGGACTTGATGAGCTCTGGAGGTCCCTTCAACCTCAACCATTCTGTGATTCTGTGAAATTGGGAGAAAGAGTCTGAAACTAAAGCACAACAGGAACTTGCATCTCCCCATTACCCCTGTGGCAGTGTTCTCTTCTATCTGTTGCTTTGGTGAGCATTATTTGTCCTCATCTAATCTTGAAAAAATTATTTAGGTTTGCAAGGCTGGCTTCTGCAGCAGGTTATAAGCTCCCTTGTGGACCTCAGCTTCTTCTTAAAAACTATGGCTTTAAACCAAAACAGAAAGATATTGCTGGTGCTGCTGCCTCATATATGTGCAGAGTGATTTTGGCAATTGGAATTCCTAGACAAGATGAAAAGTTTGCATATGGATGGAAATAGTGTAGCAAGTATTTGGTAAGATCTGATGAACACAAAGGAAAGAAAAAATGTATTAACTAAAAGACCTTTTTTTTTTTTTTTTTCCCCCTTTTCTCCTATGTATTTGGGGACTATGTTATTTTTGTTTGCTCATGATTTTTTTTTTTTTTTTTTTTTCCCCTTTTCTATTGTGTAACTAAAGGATATAACTGCACCAGTCACCTCTGGGTTTCAGTGGGATTGTTCAGGGATTCTCTTAACAGCACTTAGTGCCTAACCTTGAGAACAGAAGCTGAGTATTTCATGTGGTTACAGATTGAAACATGTGGGCATCTAGTGGGAATCCAGAAAGCATGTGGGTGCTCAATTCCCTCGGAAACTGTCAGGATTTGGCACTGCGGCTGGTAAAATATTTTTAAAACCTCTTAGATATCTCTCTGGAAATTGGGTCTGATGTTGCTAATCAGTGCAAAGGGTGGGGGGGATTATTTTTTTTCTTTCTGAAGTCATCACAGTCTTTGATCCTTGCTACTTTTTAGCAGATAAACAGGAGGAAATTGAGGGAGAGCAACAGCAATGACTTTGGGGCTAGAGGGATTGACGCAAGAGGAAGATAAAAGAGCTATCTGCATATGCAGTTTTGTAAAATGATGAGGAGGGCAGGAGTGTTTATGGGCTTCAAAAGGGTGTAAATGCCAAGGAATGGAGGGTGTGGAGGAAGGAAACTGCTTTGGTCTCGACCCTACAAGTGCCTGTGTAGGCAGGTAGCTTCTCTCAYGCTTTCTGCTGAAAGAAGTAGTTCCACTGAACTTCTGTCTCTGCTTGGAGTATTCCTGGGATGTGCTGGTGAGAAGGAGAAAGACTTCATTTGGCAAGGAGAACAGAATTTGATACTTCAGTTAGGCTAAAACACTTAACTCTGCAGTTGCTTGCACCTCATTGCCTGGCAGCTTTCAGTGCGGTCACGACTGATTGCATAAAAGTTACTCTCTATTTCAGCCAGTTTTTCAGTCAGTTTTTGCAATGAAGAAGAGCTCAGAAAGAAAAAAACTTAGGACCCAGTTGCTCCTGACCCAAACTGTTGTTGTTAGTGCTTGAATATCCAAACAGGAGCTGGCTACCATGGGGACACGGATTARTCTTGCTGATCTCTCTGTAGTGTCTCATAAGACCAGGACTGGAAGGGGTGGACAGGTTGACAAGTGGGTCAAGGTGCAGGGAAGTGCAGCAAAAGACTCTGTCTTGGGACTGCTCTCCTAAGATGCTAATCCTTTGCTTTTTCTATCCATTAGGATATCAGCCGGGGACCCTGGGGATTGCTTGATGACAAAGGTRTAAAAAATGCCCTTTGGGGCTGAAAAAGGCATAGCAAAGGCATAGCATTTTTATTTATTTTTTTGGCCTTGATCCTTATAGGTAAAGATGTTGGGGAGATTCCCACATCAAGTGCATTTGTAATAGCAAGTAGGTCAGAGAAGCTAATTTGAGGCAAAGAAACAAGAAAAGTTAGACCAAATAGGTAAGTTAGGTATTAATAAGTCACCAGGGCTGGATGTCATTCAATGGAGTGTCCCAAGGAGCTTGAATGTGGAACTGCAAAACTGCTGGCCAAGTTGTACATATAATTTATCATTACAGACAGCTGCTGAACCAGAGGGCTACAGGTTGCCAATGTAATTCCCATCTATAAAAAGGGCTCCAGAGGAGATCCTGGGAACCACACCAGCAAATCGCACTACTGTCTTACCAGGGAGAGCCATAATAAAGAGTTCTGAAAACACAGATAAATGGGGCCTAGCAGRCTCCTTGTAACTTCTGAAAAGGGAAATGCTGCTACCCTGGCAATGTGGGATGCCAGTAAGAAGAGGATTTGGATTTCCGGAAGAGTTTCTGACAAGATCCTAAGTTGCTGGGGGCTTGGAGGAAAGGCTGTTTTATGTTTTGGAAGCTGTCCGAGTAACAGGAAGCAAAAAGCAGGGGTTGATTTCACTTTTCAGGCCAGCACAGAGTCATCACAGGGTGTGCCTTAGGTCAATATGGCAGCCTGGAGCTAGAAGCCAAATCTGCAGCCTTGATGGTCATCTAAAGCTCTTTGAGGYAGTTGGATGCCACCCCAATGACTAGGAACTCCAAAAGTCACCATGGAGTCGTCACAGAGCTGATCATTTCAGGGAGATATCACTGTGCAGCAGTGATCAAAAAAGCTGCCACTGTCCTCAGGAAGGGCATGGAGGTTATAATTTTGCCTCTGTATAAATGCTAGGTGCATCCACAGAAGTGCAGCTCTGGTCTCTACACATCAAGTGGGATACAGGAGTTAGAGATCAGCTAAATGATCAGAGAGATGGACCCCCTCAGGATGGGCTGAGAAGACTGGAATTCTTTTTTTTTTTTTTGTTCTTTTGAGGAGAAAGGAAAGGAACATGGATAAAGATTATAAAGGATAAAGTCATTGGATAAAGCTGAATGTGAAACTTGCCCTTTGGATCCCATGCTCCTGCTGCTGGGAAGCTCTTGATCAATCAGTCTTCAAATCAATCCAGGAGATTGAAATGGAAGAAAGTCCCTTGCTCAGCAAGTGTTGAACATCTGGAACGTGCTGCTTCAGTATCAGCAGGTTCAGAAAAGGATTATATGGATTTATGGGCARCAGGTCTGTATATGGATACCAAAAGGATTAAGCAGAGATCTAGCCTGGTAAAACAAGTCTGTTTAATTGGGGGAGATGTGAGGGAAAGGACTTGGGAAGGTGGACTGCAGGTATGACCCAGCAGGGTATTTCTTCTATTGGCTCCTTTAATTCTTGAGGGAGCAGAGAGGGAGCAATTCTGACAAAACCATCTCACCATCACCTGCAGGAACATGGGGAGGAAAGTGCACATGGCTCAAAATAGGTGCAATGGCCATAGGCTTCACGGTCCTAAACCGGATGAATCCTGTGTGCGTTGACTTCACCTGCAACCTTTCCTTTCCCCAGAGCTCTCTTCCATGAGTTTTCCATAGGAAACAGTCATCCAGGTAGCGGGCAAATGTTGGACTYTGCTTTTCTGCTTAAGGGCGAGGCATCTCTTTTGCATAACTGTATCAGCAGATTCTCATGAGAGAGTGAAAACAGCCCAGAGGGTTTGAGCAAAATGCCATCAAAATCAGTCGCCTCGCAGATGGCAGGTCTGATTCAGATCCCTCTTGGTCCAATCTACCTGGGGGCTTGCCCCTGCCTGCAAAGACTGACTGCAAAGATGCAAATCAACAGTCTCCTTCGTACCTTTATTCTAGCGYGCTGATTTATGGCTCTGGGCACATATAGGTGGCTGCAGCTCTGCCAGAGTTTGTTGTCCCCATAGTAGGAACAGACAAATGGGATCCACGTTTATTTCTGAGTCTTTTCTCTGTGACTTTATGCTCCTGAGGACTTCTTCACTATGCCCAGTGTAGACTGCTTAATTTGCCCATCTCTTACAGGGAGGGAAACTGCTGGGGTGAGAGCAGCTCTTGACTCTGAAACTGGATTTGTCTCCATTCACAAATCCCAGGGCTGTTTACTGAGCAGCTTCTTCTGGAAATACTCTTTAT